AATTTCCATTTTACATATCCCCCAAACGATCATTTCTTATAATCAAAAAATGCATTTTTATAACGCAAAGATCACTTTAAGTTTAGTTTTTAAAAAAAATTGATGTTTTTGTTTTTTAGAAATCACCTGGAAGATACTAAACAAAATTTCATATAAATTTACATAAATTAATAAATAAAGAAAAAATAAAAATAAACTGTGATAAGACATATTTAGTGCCCTTACTTCTGATTACTTACTATTAATTTAAATAGAGAAATGCGATTAAATGTTTTGAAAAATATTTGAGAAATATTTAAAAAATATTAATAATAGAAATTATAAAAAAAATGTTTAGATAAAAGTTCAATTAAGAGAGACAAATGATGTTAATATTTTTTTGATCTTGTAATAGCTTTGAAAATTGAAACATTGAATTTAAAAATGAAAATATGTATACATAGTGATTCTCTTGCTAGAGAATTGTAAAAAAAAATAATAGTTTGAAAATTTTTTAATATTAAATATGTGCAAATATAAAAAATGTAAAAAAATATTGTATAAAAAATAGGAAATATGAAAATATATTTTTTCATTTTAAAATTAAATTGTGATTTTTTTAAAATCTTTAAGATAATATCAAGATCAAATAAATTTTCAATATTTATTTGATTTCTTTGATATCATATAATTACAAATAAGGAAACATTTTTTCATATTTCTCATATTTTTCGAGATTTAATCATTCCTATCTAAATCAGTTATACATATGTATGTGTGTCTTAATGAAGCATATCTAATTTTAAATAAAACTTTTAATAAAAATGAATAGATTTATGCCAATTATATTTATATTTTCATTTTCACATTTTCATTTATATTAGCATAGAATGTGAAATCCGCTTAAATGAAAATCATATTTTAAATTATAAATTGTTGTTTGTTCGATTACCTGTTTGCACTCCACAGTCAATGGTACCTGTTTGATTCAAATTAAAAGAACTTTTTTTACCTTTTATGTTCCATATTTCCCAAAAAGTTTAAACATCAATTGTATACAGTTTGTATGAAATACGTCTAATCAGACGCAAGTTATTCATACTCTTTAATCGCTTTACTTACCTTTTTTTTTGAAAAAATGTGTTTGCAAAACGCGTGTGCCTGGCGTATGGATGAATGTGCATTCGCATAAAGAAGCGCTTTGTGACTCATAAGACTTTATCGATGATTACTGTTGTCTAATCGTAAAAAAAAGTAACGTAATGGACACGAGCTACTAACGTGGGAATGCAAATACATACCGAAGATTGTTTCTTCCACATTTCGATGTTCTTCCGTTGAGCCTTTGTGAAGTGATCCCAGACCTTCTTGTGGCTGGCCGCAGTAAAGACGCGTTCAATCTGACTGACTGTTGATGACATGGTCGCATGTTGCATACAAAAACACAACAAATCTTCTGTTGTATACCCTGCTTTGAACTCTACATTCGTGTTGATCTAATACGTAACTCTCGTTAAAATCATCTATATGCGCGCGCGCGCGCGCGTTTGTTAATGTAAAATATACATTTTTTAACATAATGTTTGCAATATTGTCATAACATCACAAGTGTTGTATACCCAATAACTCTTCTGTATCATTCAGATTCGAACGTTTCCTTCTAAAATATATTATATGATTTTAAAGTTATTTGAATTCTTACTATCTTTTTTTTTTAGAAAAATTTCCTATATAGCGGGCTAAGCAATATAATATAATAATTATGAAGTTACTTATCCCAATAAAATTTTTTAAAAAACTGCTTTCACCATTGATCAGGGATCCTTACAATTCGGCTGCCAATCAGTCTTTTTAATAGATTACGATTAGTGCTTGTTTTCCTTAAGAAAATCTGCACTATTCTCCTAACAACTTACAACATGGAGAGGCTTCCAACGTTAAAATGATGATCTTATGCTATAATTCCAGTGATTGTTTTGCATTATACAATATACTAAACTATTCATATTATTTGAAGTAATATTTTTATAAATTACTATACTTAATAATAAGTTAATAAATCATATTGAGAATCATAGCATAATTTCATCTCCGCAACAAATATTTAGCCCATCACCCTTAATCCTTAGCATTGCAAGCATGCAATTTTTAGGTACACTATGTTTCTATAGAATGAATTTTTGTAATATTTGTGCTCTTTTGTTCAATCATCAGAGCCTAGAATCAAAAGACAGGATATCTTCACCCACCTTATTTTCTCCTACTGTCTTTGATCCTTCTATTGAGTTGTCCCGATGGTGCATTGACAATACACTCGTTATATGATAAATTCCTTACAATATATCTGATGTTGAATCTCAAGGAGGATGAAATTTTTTGACAACCGAGATTCGATACAAAACGATCGACGATATAATTCGCAATGTTAACAATTTTATTTCATATTATGTATTTGTTTTTGGAAATGTCAGAATCTTTAATATCAAAAGTGACGTACCTTTCTAATTATAACAAAAAATTCTGTATTTATTATAAATTGTAATTTTGTATTTTAATTGCTAAAAGTTTACTAGATTTGCTAGTTGCTAAATTTAGACATTAAAAAAAAGTACGCACTTCTGTTATTACAAAACGCGTGAAATTCTGACAAAATCATATTTTGGCATTTCACGTATCGAATGCTCAAAGAATTGTAGAACCTTTACTTTATAATAAAAAAACTTACCAGATAAAGCAATATGTATGTGGATTTGCTCTTGTGTACATAAATAATGTACAGTGGTATAGAGCTATGTTATAGAAAAAAAAAATATATATATACATATATATGGATTATATAAACGTACATTGTATTAAGAGTCCCTGCATCCTGCCCTTCATTAGTTCCTTTGCTTTTTGGAGTTCCTCTTCGTAAGCAACCTTTTCTGTAAGTAGCCTTCGAACGTGAGAATTCGTTGATTGAATCATCGAATAAAAAGTGTTAGCATTGCGTTTGGTACAGTCTCCACGCTCGAGCCATGTTACGACAACCTGGAATGATTTAATGCTCTTGTTTTGTAACGTAACAGAACGCGTTTTCTGGAATTCAAAAGTTTTAGTCTGCAGAAACATTTAGCGATGAAAGTGTTTAAACATTTTATATAAAAAATTATTTTTTACGACAATAATTACTTACTTGCACTGCTTTCATGAATGTATCATCTTGCTTAATTTTCTCACAAATATTTGATGCTTCATGATCTGTATAATGTACCACTGGAGGAGGACTAGATGGTGCCCTTTGTCTTTCCTTTTCAACTCTTTCTCTATGGCGTTGTTCTCTCTGCAATTGACGTTGTCTACATTCCCATTCATATTGGTCATCTCTAGCCTATATTTTTTTTAATATAATAAAATTTAATAAATAAATATTTCATAAATAATTTTTTATATATTAAAATTATAAAATTATGAACCTGAGCAAAATCTACATGTAATCTGCCTGTATTTGCAGGATCACCACTGGATCCTATTCTAACTCTATATCCAGATAAATAAATTGCTGCATCAACACTACTTTCGAGTACGAAACGTATATGACAAAAGTTTTTTTTAGAGAGTCGCAAAGTGGTTATTTCTCCACAACGTTCGAATATTTCTTGAATTATCGTTTCTGTGATATTTTCAGGTAAACCTAAATAAAATAAAATTTATAGAAATTTATAAAAAAAAATATTTCTTATTAATTTTTATACAATAAAGAAATATATTACCTCCAACAAAAATTGTTCTGCATCCTGGAGGTCTTTCTCGAGTTGTTGGAGGTGGAGCATTCGGATTTGGTGGGAATAATGTACAACTTTTGCAATGTATAATTTCTTTAGTACCTTGTGATGTTGGTGGAGGAGGTAAGGCACTGCTCATAATTTGGGCAGCATCATTCATTATTTGTTCTGGTCCTAATATTTGTGCACCTATCATACTACCATCATGTGACATCATTCCCATACTCATGGGACCATAACTATGAGTATGTCCCATATGTGGACCAAGTGTCATTTCACTCATCATAGGTCCCATTGGACCCATTGGACCCATTCCCATTACTGGATATCCTACTCCCATTCCCCAAACTCCTGTTGCTTGTTCCATTTGTGTTCCCAAATTTGGAGTGTTACCAGTATTTGATGATGATGGAATTTCATTATTATTTGAATTATTATTATGACTATTATTGTTATTGCTAGAGTTTATACTATTTCGATCATCTGGCCTTCGTTCTTCTCTTCGATCTCTTTCACTTCTTTCTTCTCTCCTTTCTCTATCTCGCTCTCTCCGATCACTTCGATCACTTCTAGATCTAAAAAAAATTATAATAATATAACTCTAATAAATATGATGATCATAGCTTAATTAATATTAATTATATTAATATAATTATATATTGAAATTATATATCAAAAGAGATTAAAAAAACCTTCTATTATCTCGAGTATCTCTATTATCTCTGTTTTCTCTTTCTCGTCGAATATCACTTTTTTCATTTCTTTTATCACTATTATCTTCAGGAGCTTCTCTAACTACTGGGGGTTGATTTTTATTTGTACTAAATTCTAAAGGAGAATCATTCATTCCAGGCAGTGGTATTGGTGGAGGTAAAGGAGGAAATCCTTGGCTTGCTAAATCCATAAAACTTTGTGGACCTGCGATTGGAGCAAGGGGTCCCATTGGTCCTATACCTAAAATATGATATTTTAATAAAAATAAAAATAATTTTCTACTCACTATAAAATAAAATAACTTTAAACACAGCAATAGAAAATGCATATTTCGATAAATGACATAAAATGATTATATATAAAATATATGGTTAGAACTTTTAAGCATACCCATTGGCGGCATAGCGGCTGCTGGTACACCCGGAAAATTGTAAGCCATTTTCTATTAAATTCTTTATAATTCTGCAGTTATGTTTTGAAATTACAAATAGTAAAATGTCGAGGAAAATAATTTACTTTTTAAGAATTCTAGATCATATCGTAGCAAACTCTGCATCCAATATGGCAGGAAGACGAATGTAACCTCCTTAATTTTAAAATCTTCAATTGGTTCATTTTTTTAATAATTTTAATATCAATTAATATTGAACAATGAGAGATAACGAATTTACTAAAATTATTGGAATAAATGTAATTTTAGTTCCTTACAAGGAAAAACATGTTAAAAGGCTAGTATCATTTACCTCTTATCGATTATGATATCAATATATATGTAATAAAAATATCCGCCATTTTTAAATAGATTTTTATATTTTTTTTGAATCAATTAGAAAATTAATACACATACATATATTGTTTTTAAATAAGTTCTTATTACTTTTTCAATATATTATTATTTTTAGATATCATGAATGGATGAAGTCATCAGAATTACAATATTTTACTGGTTCAGAAAGTTTAACATTGGAAGAAGAATTTCAAATGCAAAAGCGATGGCATCAGGATCAAGACAGTGAGTAACTTTATTTTTAAATATATAATTATGCCAATAATATATTTTTATTTGTTGTAGAATGTACCTTTATCATTTTAGAAAAAGCTATTTATACTGAAAGTGGAAATGAAATAGGTACATAAAACATTTCTTTATCTTTAACATTATTCTTTTATTACATATTGATATCAATAAATTTTAGAAGCTATGATTGGAGATACAAATTTATTTTTTAATGAATTAGATCAGCCAAACACTGCAGAAATTGAAATTATGATAGCAAATATTAATTGTAGAGAAAAAAAAAGAGGTTGGGAGGCAATAATTCTAATGATGCTTTATGGTATATGCTTTTTTTTTCTTTTATTATTTAGATTTTTTTATTTTTATAAAAATTAGCTATTTTGAATTAGGAATTGACAAATTAAATGTAACAAAATATATTGCAAAAATTAAATGTGACAATAAAAAGAGTATAAAAATGTTTGAAAAATTAAGATTTCATAAGGTAATTATTTTTTTTTATTATTTTTATTATTTTTTATTATTTGATGAAAATAATACATTTACCAATAAATATAATTTATATTATAAAACAGGTAAAAAAAAATGAAATTTTTCAAGAATATACTTTTGAGAAAATGGTAAATCAAGATTGGATAGTCTGGTTATATTCTGAAACCACTATGAATGCAATTACTTATGGTGTTTATGATAAAGAAACTGATAAAAAAGAGAAAGAGAATAAGTCTGTCAACAATTTATAAAAATCTGTAAAGAATCGATAATTATTCGTAATAATTTTATTTCGCGAATTATTAAGTTATAAAATTTTATATATATCTGAACTATACTTATTTTATTATATTAAATAATTCTCTGCACTATAGTTACAATTATATAATCGAGACGTGATTAGTTTTTATTGCTTCTAAGTGATCATACTTAATCACACATGAACAGTATACGCATCTTTGACAAACGTGTTGTGTTATTACAAATGTATTTTATGTATTTAATAATTAATCGTAAATATATTTAATAATAATTTAATATAATCAAAAATATATGTAAGTAATTATATATTTTATTATTTTCTTTTCATTTATTAAAAAAAAATTTAAACAAACTTATTAAAAAATGATCTTAAAAGAAATTAAATTTATTTTAATTTATTATTATGAAGTGTTAATAAAATTACAAAATAGGCTAGAAAATTTTATTAATTATTTCATATAAAAGAATTGTAACTTCATATATAAGATTTTATAAAAATTAGCATGTATGCCAATAAAAAATTGAATAAAAAAAATTGAGAATATATGATATTACTTTTAAGAATATTTTCTTCATCTGTCTTTTATTTTATATTGATATGAAAAATATAATAATATCGTACAATTAATTTATATTAATATAAGTTATGTATATAAATATAATTGTTCGAAAACAAATATTGTTATATTAAAATAATAAATAAAATAATAGAATTTCAAATATTCTTTTTCGATCTTATATGAATTCTGTTTTCATTAATATCTTATAAAATTTGAAAAAAATTTTATAAAAGATATGATAATATTATATATAGGAAAACAAAATTATGCAAATTTGAAGCAGAAATATATTCGAAAAAATATAAAAAGAAAATAGAGATATTGTCATAAATATATATTTATTTATTAATATATTATTAATATATATATATTGTTAATTAATAGAATATATATAATTTTTTTAAAGAAAATAATAATTTATAATATGATATGATATAATATAAAATAATAAATTATGAAGATAAAAACAATTAATACAATTATTACTTATTTACTTATTCATTTTATAATATATATATTATCATAGTCTTATTGCTACATTTATAAAGAATTCATGTTTTATTACTGTGAAAATATACTGCATTATAGTATTGTTTTATCTCATTTGTATTTTACATTTTTTTAATAATTGTATTTAAATATAAAATGTAGAACAAAAATGATAATGTAACTATATAGTTTTAAAAAGGATCGAAAATTCCAATGATGATGACAAATTTTTCATTATGCAGTTGTAATATGGTATAGTATGGTGAGTTTAGACAATAGAAAAAATTCAAATAATGCAATTTATTTATTATTTTATTTATATTTTTACATTTAATAATTTAAGTCATATTTATTATAAAATAGAATAGATTTTCTAATGATCTTAATTTCTTGGTTTTTTCAATTTCTTCGATTTTCAAAATTTTTTAGTAACATTCGATAAAAAATTTGTCAAATTTCTTAATTCACTATATTTCAAAATTTTGCTATTTCTATATCTAATGTAAAGTGTTAATTTGCAGATAGTGAAACGAGATAAAATGAACTGAGAGATAAAACGAACGTAATGTCTCTATCTAAAATATTACAAAAATTGAAAAATTCTATGCAAAAAAGACCATTACTCTTTAATTCAGTAATGTACGGTTCCTTTTATACTGGTGCGGAATTCGCGCAACAAACTTATAACAAAATGTTTAAGGTAATATTCCTTTTTATATAATTAAAATATATTATAAACTAATATAAATTTTAAAAATTAATTCAAATTTTGAAAAGAATAAAAAAATATTTAAAAAATAGGAAATTTTACATTAATTAAAATTATTTTTGAAAATATATATAAAACTATTGTACTTTATTTTTTTATTACATTTATGATCTTGTGATCAAAATATAATATATATGCGAATCATAATATAAATAAAAATAATATTATATAAGAAATAAATAGTCATATAAAAAAGAAATATATAATAAATATATAAAAAATGAAATAATAATAAATGAATTTCTTTAAAAAAAAAGAAAAATAAATCAATTACGAAACTATAATATGTAATAAAAATATATACACATGTATTTGATTTTTGTGATGTTTTAATGTTTTTAATTATAATTAATTATTCCGATTGTAGTTTTCGTTATCAGCACCAACAAACATAGAAGAAACAAATACATTTAAGATTGAAAAACCGCTGTTTATTTGGATAAAAAATTTTAATCAAAAATTGGGTTTATTAGATAAAAATAACGCGATGCAATTGGAAAGTTACAATTGGGCCCAACTAAAGCGATATGCTATCTATGGTTGTTTTATTGCAGGACCACTACTACATGGATGGTATCGCGTATATCTTTATTTTTATTCAATGCTTTATATCATTTGTTTATTTTTTATCATTTATGACATTAAGCTTTAATAATTATACGATAAGGCACTTTGTTTATTAATTGCATATATATATATATATATACATATACATATACATAATATGCATATAAAATGTATATATATACATATATATTTGTAACGAATCAAACATAAAAATTACTTAAAATTTCGATTTCAATAATCTATTATCTATTATCTAAATATTGAATTATTAATCACATAAATATATATTTTTAGATAAAAAGTATACACGTAAAATAAATTAAAATATAAATAATAACAATAACAATGACGAAAATATTAAAAATTAGAGAAATAGGTAATACTTTTATAATTATGAAAAAAAATATATATACGTTATGTATATAATATAGTAATATATATAAGTATAGTAAAAATAATATATATGTGTATATACTAATACTAATATATATACATAAGGTTTCTTGTAATTCATATATAAATGGAATCAGAAATATTTTATGATTTAAAATAAAAAAAAAAATAAGAATAAAAAATATATGATAAATATCATTTTCGAGAAAAATACATTTAAAAACCAATCATTTACTAATGATATTTAATAAGTGATTGATTTTCTATATGAAAATAAAAAAACACTTTAAAATAAAATTTCTTTGTTTTTTGAAAAAGTCGAATTTGAAAATTCATCTCTGTATTTGATTAATTATTGAATAAATATATTTTTTAATTACTTTTACAATAAAATGTTATTCTATATATTTTATTTATTTTTGTGTATATTATTTAATATTATTCAATAATATTCAGTTGAAAATTAATTAAATTCATATTTGATAAATTCTTAAATCTTATATTTTCAAAAATAAAATAAAGTAATCAATCAATTTATGTTATTTTTAAATTTTCATTTTCAATAGAATATCTCTGATTTCATTTGAACTATAATTTACGAAATACCTTATATATAAAATACATATAAAATTATATAAAAATATATATAATATATTAAATTGTTGATAAATAATTAATTAGTTTTATTTGATTTTGATAAAACTAACTCTTTCATAGACATAAATATCAACGTTAATAATTTCGTTAACATAAATATCAACATAAAATAAACTGCCTGTCTATTGGATCGCACGATTGCATTCATCGGCACGCTGGCTGCTATGAACTTATCACTTTTGGTGAGCTTATTCTGTTTTGTCACTTCTATTGGTATTCGCCTGTATAGTATTATTAATGCTAATTTTCTCATTATAATCATAATTATCATAAAATCATAAATTATCATAAATGATCATAATTACCATAAAATAATTTTCATTGGAAATTATGTTATTTAATCGATTGTCTTCAATATATCATAATTTTTGTTTTCATATACTACTGTTAACAAATAGTAATTGACTCGAAAAATTATAAAATTATAAAATCAAATCTTTTAACATTTTTTATTAGGTACAAATGGTTGGATATGTTCTATAAAGGCAAAACTATGAAAATTGTCTTCACAAAACTTTTAGTCGATCAATTTGTTCTTACGCCACCATTAATTACATTATTTTTTATCAGTTTGTATTAAATTTTTCTCTTTATATATATTTTAGATCTTTAAAATATACTATACTTTGTCATTATATTGTTTAATATTTTAGGTATGAGCTTGATGGAGAGTAAATTAAATGTGTTCGATGAATGTAAAGCAAAATTTTTTCAAACATTTAAGGTAATTTAAATTGTTTTTTTTTTTAAATTTAAAAAATTCGTATTTAGTTGAATTTTTTTTTTTATTTGTAGACATCATGTATGTACTGGTTACCAGTTCAATTTTTTAATTTTCTCTTAGTACCACCAGTATTACGAGTTTCTTTTGTTAGTATTGCAGCTTTCTGTTGGGTAAATATTCTTTGTTATTTAAAAAGTATTCCTGTATCTAAATGTAATGATAATCAAATAAAATATTGATTTTTTATATTAATATCTTTGGTTTGATACATTGACAATTATCAAGAACAGTACAATAATGAATATATGTTGTATCTAAATAATTATAATTTCATTTAGTTCAATATATTCAATAAAAAATTGATATTTATTAATGGAAATAAAATATAAAAAATAAACATTTCTTATAAAAATTAATAGATTAAGTTAAAATGTTAAAGTATTAAAAACATATAACAAAAATATTAAAAAAACATTTTCCTTACTTTTTCAATATCTATCATATACATACATAATAAACGATTCAATAAAATATTGTACTATTTATAATGCTATAAATTTGATGTTTATATAAAAATCAAGTGAACTTTTAAACTATAAAATCATGTTTGTTTATATGTTAAATTTTATATATTAATTTTAAATTTATAGAATTAAATTTTTTTGTATTTAAAAAAACATTTGTTTTGAATATTTTCTTTAAAATGTATCTAATATTTGATTTAACCAATAATTAATAATATTACACTAAGAGAAAATTTTGATTAAGAAAATGTCATTATTTTAATATATGAACACAATTTTTATTAATAAATAAATATCTCTCAAATATCATTTTGAACATTGATAATAAAAATTTGAAATCAAATTTATTAGAGAAATGTGATTGTAATAATTATTTAAAATATTATTTTTCATTTTTTTAACAATTAAAATATTTTTATTTTCTTTAATTTGCATGTATGAATGCATATATACATAAATATATTGATGGTGTATATACATGGACATGTAAAATGTTTAGTCTCTTCATTTAACAGTCTTGTTGATATCTTATGTTTGAAAAGAATTTAATTAACTGTACAAATACATTATAAGAAAAAGCGTATTTCATATTTGAGGCAATAAAAGATTATAAGCATTTCATGTTTCTATAATAAATATTGTTTGTATAAATGCTATAACATATTAATTATATAATACATATATTTGTAGCAACACAATATGTACTTATGTATGTAGAATCTGATTGATTTAGCTTATTTTATTTCAATTATAATTGTATAAAAGAATGCATAAAAAGATAGGCCATGGAATTATTATTTCCATATAAAATATTATATATTATATATACTTATTTTGAATATTTAAGCGAATTAATAATCATAATTAAAAAAATACTATGATTGATCAATGTTGAGTTTAAATATCAAACAGAATTTAAATATTTAGACATACATTTAGTGTGTTCTACTTTCATAATTTTTTCCATATATATTGTTTCCATATATATGTACACAATTCAAATTTAAAAGTCATAAAGAATACTATGTATTCTATTAGAATTTTGTAAATTTTCATTATTCAGCAAATAAATATCATACATATGTAATATTACTAAGTAAATATTGTTTACAATATAATATATAATACTGTCAGTTTGGTTCGACAGCAAGCAAGAAGTATTTTATGTTGAAAGTATTTTTAAAGAGTATATGTCAATTTTTACATTGATTTTATATTATACTATTAGAAAGAACCACTTAATTTAATATATTTGGTTCATTTAAATTTGCTACTCAATCATATTAAACTTTTTAAAATTGATAATGCTCATATGAGAATATTAAAAATTATCTTGTGTTTACTTGAAATATATTTTTTATAACGATATATATGTATAAGATATAACGTGTATTTTTATGAATGAATATGCATATGTGACTCGATAGCATTGTGCGATTATAAAACATTATCTACTTGCCATCAAGTGAGTTGAGTGATCTACTTCTTTAACAGTCTTAATAGATCAGCTTAATTAGTTCATCTAATATTCACTTTTAACAATTAGGAAAGGCACCTAAGAGGGATCCAGCCCTACCTTGTAGAAGAAAATATATTCATTGTTCCACTAGCTGTGCGTTTTCTTATGAGACGCGCTGCCACTGTAAATTTTTAATTAAAAAAAATATTATTAGATTTTTCTTAACTTTTTTTTTTAATATTTTTAACTGTATTTTCTTTGAGTTTTTTTCTATTTCAAACTCACCAGTCGCATCTTGTGGAGTAAGTGGTTTATCTATGACCTTTTGAATTACATTGATCCATTGTGATCTATCATCATCACTTTGAGCAGAAAGAAGATAAGTTCTATCTGGAGTTTCAAGAGTAAATGAAAATCCTTGATCTCTTGCACCAGGAGGTACTCCTGTTTTTACTGCAAAACCATCTGAACTGTGGCCCAAGAAGATTTCACCTTTTGGATGTGCATCCTTTAAATAAATATAAATTTAACTTATTTTCTAATAATAAAAAATACGAATATTTATTTTTAACTGTTTGAGTATTATTAATTATTAGACATCTGATCGAAATATGCCAAACTATATGATCATGCTATTTTTTGTTATATTAATTGTTATAATTTTAATTAAGATTTATAATTGTATTTTTAAGTTTTCTACTGCTTTTTTTTAAATGTAAGTAATATATCTGTCGATCAGCGATCATATTATATAATACTCAAATAATTAAATAAATGCATACCATAGGATCATCATGATACATCAATTTTCGTCCATCTAGTGTGAACCATCTTTTTTTATAGGCATCTGTATATCTAGGTCCAGTTTTCCATAAAAATCCTTCACGAGGAAAATCTCTGGTAAGTTGTGAAAGTAATTCAGCCTCAGTTGCTCCTGGATATGCAACTTGCAAACGATGTAGCTTTGCACATCGTATTGCCAAATACCAATTTGTAATTACTTCTGGATCTTCATGATATACATAGATATGTCTTGTTGTACCATCTTTCATAAATGATATTTGCAGACTATTCTGATTACCAGTTTTAGGAGGAGCAAAAGCAACATTTAATTCTGATATTCTAAGAACAGCTTTGGGTTCCTTAAAACATTAATAATAAAATAATAAAACATAAAGAAATGAAATACTACATATCAAATATTAGATAAATATATAATATTTAATATTTATAAACCTTATTTTCTTTAACATGATATTTGAGAGTATCTTCTGCCTCACAAAGAACAAATTTTCGTGGATGATAACGTGAATCTTCTTTACCACGTTTCATTAAAAAACCTTCCATGAATCCTGAAACATAATGGTTTTGTCTCTCTGGATGACAAAATTCTTCTCTTTCATATTTTGCTCTTATCCATTGTTCTATTAATACTCTGTTAATTGAAAAATATGATTTTTGAAATATATGTATATTTTTAATTTAATATTTTAAATATACAAGACAACCTACTGTGGTGCATCTGGATTTGGTCTGCGATAACATGGAGGTACACGTTCTTCATAATGAAGCCTAGCTGCAATATTACCAACTTCTCTAATTCGGTTTACTTGAGAATCTTCCCACCTGTCTAGTTTTAAATGTTTAACTTTAGAAATATGTGCACCCATTGATCTATGTATACCTGCACATCTTGTGCACACAAATATTCCTATATTATAAGAAGCCCATTCTGGATCTGAAATTTAATTTCAATTATGAAAATATCTTTTATTTTTTAATTTTTTGATATTGTTATTATTTATCCAAATATAACTTAATATACATGATTACAAAAACAATGTGAGAATATATTGTAAATAAAAAAAAAATGCAACACATTTTTTAAATAATAAAAATAAACTATTTATTTTAAAAGAAAAAATAAGATGTTTATTTTAAAAGAAAAGATAAGATTGTAAAAAAAAATATTTTTAAAAAAATATATAGTAAGAGAGTATAGTAAATAAACATAAGTAAGAATTTCAATGTATGAAATAAAATCTCTTTATTATTATATACAATTATAAACTAAACATTAGTGAATATTATACTATTATACTATTGTACCTTTAAATTTTTTAGATAAAAATCATTTTAAATGATACAATTTTAAAACTTTTTAAAATAAATACAATATTTTCTATTTTAATTAAAATTCATATTAAAATCTTTAAAACAAAGAAAATTTTTATTTAATATAACAATACCGTAAAACAACTTTACAAATCAATTTTTTTAATCAATTTAATTAATTGTAGCAAAATAAAATTGAATAAAAATGACAATTTCAATTTTCTTCTTTTTAATATTATAATTGTAATTAAATTATTTTGAAATTTATTTCGAATAAAATTAAGAAAATAAAGTTTGATATTCAATAATTGAAAAATTTGCAATATAATAAAACAAATACTTTTTAATATTTTTTACATTGTGATACAATAATATAATAGATACTTTTTAAAAAACCTACTCACTTTTTGCCCCACAATCAGCACACACATTATTTCCAGGTTTTTTGAGGAGTTCTGCTAACAACTTCTCATTTAAGTCCGCCATCTTAAAACACTGACAAACAGCAATATGTATATATGCAAAGATTATTTGATACGAAGAAGGTTAACTCTTATTGAAAAGATTGTCTATAATTAACCTTTGAAAATATTATAATAATTTAGATCCATTTAATATGTCATATAATATATGTAATAGAAATAGAAAATTTTATTTGTCATTTTTAATTATGTTTATTTTTTATGTTTAATAAATTAATTGCTTGTTTTCAGATATTCTTTTTCATTATATTATTACATACAATAAACATAATAAACATAAAAATTTATAAAAACTAAATTAGTAATATTTTTAATTTTTTAAACTTTAATAAGATATGTTATAATATCAATAATGATTAAGTTTTATTGTTTCTGAAGTTATAATATATTTAAAATAATATTTTTGCATAAAAAAATTATTTAATCAAAAAATAAATCAATTATAAATATTATAATATAATTATATTCACTATTGTCAACAAAGTGTCATTCTATTAATTTAATAAAAACGATTAAATTGTTTCCATTTTTAAATGAATAAATATATCAGATAATATTTTGTATTTAATATTTTTATTGATTATTTTATCAAAATTGTATTGAATTTTGACATAATTTTATTCACGGTTATTTAAGATATATACACATATTCATATATTTTTTTTTGTATCATACATATATTCTTTATATACGTATTCTTTGGTTAAATTTCTAATAGAACATTATCAATAGTAAGTATATATATTTTTATTTATTAAAAATACACTAAATAATACATTAAAATTTGAAAATCATATTTATTGTAAGACGTAAATATTTATATTTATTTATATGTATATATTTATTATCTATAAATTTACAAAAAATTGTATTGGAAATTTATAATTTTTAAAAATTTATATTGATAAATTGAATCATGAAAATTAATATCTATTTATAGTTTTTCTTTCTCCATAAAATTATACTAATACTAAATACATATATATATTATATATTATAAATATTATATTAAAATATATTAAAAACATTATTCGTGAAATATAGAAAAGTTAATAAATCTTTAATATTGGTTTCTTTATAATAATTTAATTATATGTATATAAATAATAGTATATAAAAAATAATAAAAATTAAAGATATTAAATTCTGTATAATTTCATTAATTCATTACAGATTAATAATTATAAATAGATAATTAAAACATTTAATATTTTTTAAAAAAAAAATTAAATGATTAAGATTTATTGTATTTAATACTAAGTGATAAAAAATTTTATAACATTTATCATTATAATTGATATAATGTCGAAAATATGAACTTAAAAGAAGTAAAAGAAGCGTAACATTGATTCTAGTCGTGGAGTGATTTATCGTTTGTACAGGGCCACCAAGTGTAATAAGCGACGCGTTCTGCCACTAGCTAACCAATTTTGATTCATTAATAGGTCGACCCGTATGACCCAAAGTGTCTGCGACTGCTAAACGAATTAATTTACCCACATTCTTCTTTGCCAATGTGTAGTTTCCTTACATAAAAACGAAATTTTGTTTACTGTCAATTGTGACTATTTTTATCCGTGAGTTATCTCTACTAGTTATATGCATAACATTGTTCTGCTTCGAATTAAAAATAATATAACTCAAAATTGTCATCGATATGTAGAAGGATTTTTAATCATAAAACTATGTGCAAAATGAAGGTAATTTTAATTGAATAAAAATGATTTTTTTTCAAATTTTTACTTGATGTTATTAATTTAAATATAAATCCCATATCTCTGATTTCCTATAGATATTTAAATCAGTGATTTAAGATTTTTCTCATAAAAGCACAAAAATCTTCATTTCTGATTAAAGTTTGTTGTTTTAGTATTATAAATATAAAAAATTTATTATATTAGAAATGAATTATATAATAATATTAAAAGTAAAATAAAAATATTTGTTTAGAATTTTTATATATATATATATATATATATATATATATATATATATATATTNT